CGCATCATCTCCTTCATTAAAAACATGTACCTTGAGCAAACTGTGGACATCTAACTCTGCTCGCCTGCTGCATCTCAAGTGGATTATCACCACATTTGGTCACAATGCCCGATTTCTGTGACCCAATCCCTCTCTCTAGGCACCTCAAACTTCGGGCCCCCAAATTGTAATTGCCCATTCGAGCTGACTACTCTCAATGAAAACGACTTCGCTTTATTTTCGAGACCTCCTCAGCCTCTTCTTCCTTGCGATCCATTTTTCTCTGGTTCACGATAGATCCCTGATCCTGGCGTCTCAATTTTGCTTGTCTTGTTGCATCCCTGTCTTCTCCGAGATTAATTAGGCAATAAGTCAAGTTATCACTGACTCTGCTTTCTTCCAATCTCTTGTTCATGAATTGTTTTCGTCCAAGGATGTCAATGACTTCCGTATCATTCCGTTTCTTTGTGCTTTCATTGAATGAGGAGGCGCTTCTTTCTGCTGCATCCCAATTGATCTCACGTCCAGTCTCTGCGATGTGTTCCGCCATATATGATCTTTCGGTATCCATTTTCCTGCGGAGTCTTTGATTTTCCTTCATTCGTATGCCGATTTTTCTCCCAGTTTCGCCAATATATTTCTGTTTGCAGACGCCAAATGCTATGCAGTAAACTACGGAATAATCCTATTTAAATACCCTCTCATGCTACGTGGGTAAACTTGTGAAGAGTAGGTGTTTTTTCTTTCGTGGTCACCTGAATATCCCATTTTCTTACTATTCGCCGTAGTCTTTGAGCTAATTCACAGGAAGCGAGACGTATCCATTTTTATGAGTCATTCTACATATTTATCTTTATTTCATAATCTCCATCCTTCCAGTATGTTTCTTTGAATTACTTCTCTCGGATATCCATTAACGAGGAATATCCGAGTCAATTTTTTCAATTTTTCATCCCAGAATTCCACGTCCATCAATCGTACGCTTCTGATGATCATGCTCCTCAGTAGGCCTATCTTCATTCTGTAGTTGTAATGAGATTCGCAATTGAGTATTATTACGGCATATGACTTCTTTCTGAACAATTTCCTCTTTTGTGTCCCAGCAGAGCGAAAAATCTCCACATCTAGGAAGGCAAAACGCCCCTTTTCCATTGTGAATTTGCTTTTTTCATCAACCCTGTCCATAAACTTTAGGAAATCCTCCAACTTTTCTCTTCCATGCGACCATAGTGCAAAGTAGTCCTCCAAATACCGCATAAGAACTGTTGGTTGCAGCGGTGACACCTTGAAATTATCTTCTAATTTGTCCATATATACATTTGTCAATAGAGGTTGGAGATCTGATCCCTCAGGAAGTCCACATTTCTGTTTAGAGATGTTGTCATTGAATGTGAAGTAGGTAGTACTTATTGTCAGGTTGATTAATTGTGTTAACGACTCTCTTCGGATACTCTCTGTTTCTAGGATATCCTCTTCGCGATCCAACATTTTCAACCCGGCCGTCAGCACCTTTTATTAATAAATGTTTGTGTACATAGATTGAACATCAAAGCTTACCAGTAATCCTGTACCTTCCAGTGTCATGTTTTTAATCCTCTGAGAAAATTCATACGAGTGCCTCACTGTGCTTGACAATCTGTCGTTTACCTTCTTGAGTTTGAGACATATGAACTTGGGTAATTTGTGTGTTGCTCCAAACTTATTGTTAACTATCAGTCATAATGGTTCTCCTTCTTTGTGTAACTTCGGTAAAATGTAGGCTGTTGGCGATTGTGCATCCTTTCATATTAATGAATTTATTGTCCATCTATTGATCTCCCCATTCCTGTACATATATTTCAGCATTTCCCGTTGAGTTCCATTGATCTTCATAGTTGGTTCGTTCTTTATTAGAAGATAGGTAGCCCTGTCTTGAAGTATACATTTGATTTTCTCTGTATATTGTTTTATGTGCATTACAACTGTCGCTCCTCTTTTGTCCGCCTAAAGGACCAATTGTTCTTCGTATCTTCGCAAATCTGTTATTGTGCATTGTTTCATAATGTTTCAAGATTCTAAGGCTTATTTTCATCTTTACTTCACGTTTTGCCTCCTGGGCGACGTGTCGGAGATATTGATGATCTCACCCAGAATGTCGTCTAAAATATTTCCGCCATTTTGAAGAGTAAAATTTAGTCCTTGCTTTAGGATCGTAGTGATTTCAGGATCAACAGAAAGCGAGGATGGTTGCTGAGAATGACAAGACTCACTGATGATGCCGACTACGAAGCCGGCTAAACGTCTGGGAATGATCATGCATGCTATGGACTCCGGACAAGGTGCGTTCTTCTAGGTCTTCCTGCTAATATGACCAAGTTGCGAAACCAAGATCAAACCAATTCTTCACCAAGATATGAAGAAAAACTTGGTTTCGAAGTTAGCTTCACTCATTTGCAATCATGTAGAGTAAGGCTCAAGTAGCCAACCAAATCAGGGAAGGCCTCATTAAGATCACGATGTTGGGTGCATAAAAAAGGGACTATACTTGTACCTGGCCACCACTTCTCTTAGTTTAGTATATTTTTGCTCTATTTCGTAAAGTATAGAATCTTGTTCTGATGATGTCTGTCAGAGTACAGACGAAAGCTTAGCACAGTTTTATCGGGATCGCAGGACGGTGCGCCGAGGACTTCTTCACACAGTCCAACAGAATTCCTTACGCGACAATCCTCTTTCGGTTTCCGGTGAGACTAGATTGCGAACTCCTTCCTACCAACTTTCCCTTCGAAATGGAGAGTCATGCCACAATGCTTCTTTACCGTTTTTTTCCTAAAATATATTTTTTCACACTGATTCCCAAAGTTTTATCTCTTGGATTTTCTAACCGTTTATTTTAAGAGGGCTTTGAATGTAACAATAAATAGGTTAGACTCCCTCTCTAAATCTTATTTATCTTTTAAGCCTAAATGAATACACAAACTCCTTTTTCCAATGGTGAATCGCATGTTGATAGAACCTCGACATCAATGCAATTTCGAGCGATAGTTTTCGGACAAATACATGAACAGAATCTGGTATTCTCTTCAATTGCTCTCGGAAAGTTTAACCATCAAAATAATGAGAATCCTCCATTATTTTCTGGTGAGATCGACGTTGTCAGGCCCTTTCATACGTATCCAAGATGCCGAGCATTGGCAGACGAGGACATTTGACCTTCCAGCTTTTTAATCTACACTTGATGTGATAAGCTTTTGGAAGGCTTGGCTAAGTGCAATCTATTGAAATCGCAAGTCATACGCATTTTATTGTGGAAAAACTTTACTGCAAATTCTTACATCACCCTAAGCAACCTAAACTTACTAATATCCATATCAAGTAAGTTTATAAACTTTCAGTAAATCCCAAATATGTGTTACAGTCAGTATGCATCATATAGGGTGATGAATGACTGGCAGCCAAATTACTCCCACCATAGTATGAGTAGACATCAGGGTTACATTAAATTACACTTTTCTTGGCTTTTACAAAGGTTTCCTCTTAGGTTTTCGGCTCGACTATCAGCACTCCCAGCCGGAATCTAACCCGAGTAGTGCAACGTGTAATCTCGACACTTTGCCACATTCCCTTTTGGAAGACATGAGATTCTCCCACATCCTAGTAATGGTAGGATTTTCAATGGGGTAAACGTGCATTTTACCATTGAAAACGACTACATTACTTATATCAATGTAAATTAGGCTTTTATACTAGTAAACTACTATTACAGAAAATAAGTAGCGTCATCGATTTCTAAGGCAAACGCATAATCGTTGAGTTTACTGCTATTTTAAGTAAAAGTATTTGCTAAAGAGATTTTAAGATAGATTACACAAAAAATACGACGTTGGCTTTAATATGGTTGTAAGAATGATACCCTACTCTGCTGATGTCCGTCATACCACTGACGAAAGCTTAGAACGTTTCACCGAAATCGAAGCAGATTACCTCGAAAACATCATCAGCAAGAATGCCACAGTAAAGCCAATCGACAGCTGGTAAAGAGGAATCTGCCGTCGTCTTCTGATTGAATCGACCTTTCAGGCAGATAAGAAGGTGATCTTTTTGGAAGGATCCAGTAGCCTAACTTGACACTCGCTTTCGAACGACTGGGCAATATTTTGTCATCAGCTTGTTTCGTAAAAGGTCCAAACATCTACCCTGTAGGCATCAATGTCGCTCATCCCCTCCTAGTTCATAGCAGATTTATGGAAAAAGTAACCAGATCTCAGATCCATTGGAAATAAGAACTTAATGCATTGCCATTAGATCGCAGCTGCCGGTTGGCTACCGGTTACAGGAATGCAGCCGGAAACACGAAAAGGGCTTGTTCACGTAACCATACTTTGGAAATTTACTTATAAATCAAAAAATTCGTAGTACATATAGAATAGTCCCGTGGAAAATAGCCGATTTCAGCTGTATTTGTAGGTATGCAGGAGCGTCTATTAAGGTCAATCACAAGTGCAGCTTCATATTAAGTAGTGCATGAGCAGTAGTGTGATTAAATAGTTCGAAAAATGCGCAACTTTCATGTTCATCACATGAAACGGAAAGTTGGATTAGCGAACATGCTCGAAAATGGTATGATTTGGATTACTTGACAAATATATTTGTGATTGTTGAAGGACAGCTAGCGATGGCTTCAAGAGGGTCTGTTAAATTGGTGGAATATTCTGCCTGTATCCATTTTGGCTGGATTGAATTGGGGCAGCAACTCTTCTTTTGTTGAGGTGACTTTTTTGATCACTTTAAGGTAAGTGTATTTGATCAGACTGGCGCTAAAGCTGTGAATCGCGCCTTTGTCTGACTTTGTGTGAGTTTAAATGCAGAACTGTTTGGTGCTCCTTAACAGATGCTCACAGAGATACTCGCATTTTAAACGGACCTCTGGCCTGTCCTAGAGACACAGATTTGGAGGATATTTACAGATGCACGAAGGTGACAGGCGAATAGCGACCACTGTCGGAGAGAAGCTTGAAGAAATTAAGTGGTTGGGTGCATGACTAGACTCCTCCGTTCTTGATTCTCGAATTCGGGAGGTCTCCGTCTTCCTGTTTAGCCCTAACATGGCTGAACTCTGGCGGGTCAATTCTCGACTTTGTCATCCGCTGTGCCAGTGGACGGATCATGGCAACGGAGGCGTTCGGCATCATCGAAACGTACTGACTGACGATCTCTGTGGTTGGTACCACTTGGTCGGAGTCCTCTCGACTAAACGCTCGGCTTTTTGGCGGTTTTGGAAGTCCAGATGAGGTGTCGGTGAATGGAGCAGTCCTTTGGAGCACTTTCACCGGAACATCGATGAGATAGACGGAATCGTTTTTCACGCTTCGATGCCCATCACCAGTCTCGGTCATGGTTGATTGAGCAGTCGGTTGGGCTGGGCTTTCGCCAGACTGTTTGAGCTCGACGGTCGTCACGTCTTGGGGCGGTGGAGGAGATCGCGGTAAGCGTTGTTCACACACAGCCTTTTGATCCTGAACTGTACGCGACATGGTCGGAGGCCGTTGCGTCGCCTCTTTCGAGGCCGTCTTGGATACGGGTGATGACGCTTCGCTTGGCAGATGTTGGTAGGCGCTGATGATGGAGAGCGGAGACAATTGGTCAATCTGACCAGGCCGTGAAATGGAGATGCCGGCTCGATTTTGGTTGTTGGACGGACGTAGACGAACATGGCGAACGTCTCGAAGTGACGAGTTCTCCACACCGTCGGCCAGTGATGCCGGTCGAGGTGGAGTCAATGCGTCAGTGTCTCGAGGGGCCTTACGTCGGCCGGTGAAGAGGAGACGTCGAACCGTGACGTTACGACGTCCCATGACGGGCTTGCGTGATTCTGGTCTCGTCAAGTTGAGAGGCTCATCGGGTGAGAGAATGTCTTCGTCGTTCTGGTATACGGTCTCGGGTTGATCCGAGCTAGGACGATCGAAGCTGATGACCGGATCAACGAGGGGGGCGGTGCTTTTCGGCCGGCCGTCGTAGAACGACGGCTCTGAGAGGGTTTTCACGGCAAAAGGTGCAAGGATCATTTCGTCCTCGTCCGACAGACGCTCCAGCGCCAGTCTTCGCGGCTTCGGGAAGCCGGATCTGAGGCGAGTCTGGAGCAGCAACTCTTCGGTTGCCATGGCGACTGGCAGATTTTCTCTGCTCGCCACCTGAACTGGAGGTGGTAGAGAGAAGGTGGCCTCTTCAACTGGCAGCACGTGTAGCGGATCCGAGGGGCGGAAGAGGTTGGCTGTCTCTTGAAACTGTGTGTCGACGCGGTTCCCTTTGTTTCGGTGCCCCTTGATACCGTTCTCATAGTTGCCATGCCGGCTGATCGGCCGTCCTGTGCTGTCAGAGCGACCAGACAAGACTGGGCAATCCGGAGGCTTAACCGGTGTTGGCGTTGACGCTGGTGTTGGTGCTTGATAGAACAACGAGGCGAGGCCGTTTGTTGCGTTGCCGGCGAGAGGGCTCGCCTCATACAGATCGGTGTACACGCCGTCGCAATTGTCGTACTTGATGACGGTGGATCTGTCCGTCGGGAGGGGGTAAAAGGTCATCGGAGTGAGCGGATATTGGAGCCTTGACGACCGAGGAGATCTGGACTCAAGTTGGTCAAAGTGAACAGCCGATTTGGCCGGCCAACGGATCAAGGACTCGGCCATCTCCAAGGGCAGGTTGCCTCGTGTCTCGGCTCTTCGGTCGGCCATCATTCGCTTCACCTCGTCGAAGGTTCGAGGGCTCTGTGATCTCAGCTTTCGAGGCGAGCCGGCTGGTACCGTAGACGAAGGCGACGGCGACGGCGATGGCGACGGCGAGGTGGGACGGACGAGACGACGGCTGACAAGCCGATCTGACGGTTGTAGAGTCTGGGAGTAGGTGATGTAATTGGAAAATTTGGGCGCCTGCGTGTAGAAGACGTTCTCGTGGCAGATGTTGCCGGTCGCCCTATCTCTGGGGGGCTCGGTCGAGTCGCGTCTGCCTCGCGGACCGACTCGGAGTCGAGCCGGCTCGCCGGTCTGGCCCAGTTGCCATAGCGAGCCGGTGAGGGGTCGTCGAGGCCGATCGGAACTTGTAGTCCCGACGTAGTCGTGGTGACCGGCCTCAACGAAGGACCTTTGATGCAGCAAGTGGGGACGGCTCACGTGTCGAGAGGGCGTGTGGGCACGCATCGTGATTGTTACCGGCGACGCGGTGAGTTCACGGTCCAGCAAGACTCGGGGCGGGACCGAGGCGGCTCTGTGTCCGGCCGGCCGAGGCCGAGGCCGGACTCGAGGCTGAGCTCGCGGCTGGGCTCGTGGTTGGGCTCGAGTCTGGGCTCGAGGCTGGGGCCGGGATCTGGATCGAGGCCGAAGGCGAGGCGAAATCGGCTCGGGCTCCGGCTCCGGCTCGAGCTCGGCTTCGGCCGCCGGCTCGCGCGTGGACTCGAGCTCGAGCTCGAGCTGGTGCTTCGGGGGGTCCATATCGATGTAGACGGTGATGGGGATGGTCTCACTACAACCGAGCGGACAGGTGGGCAGACGACCGGCATAGTTGGGGCTCGAGACGGCGAGAGGCGTCAGAGTCTGCGAGGTCAGCATCAGTTGACGACGCAGGGCGGCGTACGAGGGGAGGCCCAGTTGCGGCATGTCGTGGCGGCCGGACTCGAGCCCAGCGTCGAGTAGAGCCTTGACGACAGTGCCCAGGCGGTGTAACGAGGCGAGGCGAGAGTAGACGAACGCGCCAGGCCGTCAGAAAGACACAAGTGAAGCTGTGCACCCGGCAACGGGTGTACTCACTAGCGCCTGTCGGTCTGTCTGGTGGGCCTGATTCTGCTGATGCTGGCCTGCACAACTCCGGTTATTGGCTGGAGGCTGGCAAGACGATGAAAGAGGGGGCGGCCGACAGCCGACTTCAGTCTGCCTCGCACCAGCACCGGTGAACTAATGACGAACGGGTCGGTGAAACAGGTAGCCATGCCAACAGGACGAGTGGAGGTACGGATCTCACGGAAGCTTGGAGAGGCGAGAAAAAAGTGGGTAATTCCATGTGAGAACATGAGACCCAAGGGTGAGAGGGTGGATGAGAGTGTGAAGAGGCATAAAAGCATCCGGCACCGGCAGACACGTGCTCTGCGAGTGTGCCGGTTCAAGGACTCTTGAGCCAAGTGAGTGTGGATCAAGTGAAATGGCCTTAACCTGATGCCGACGTAGTCGTGTGCACTCGTGCCCCGATCACAGCCCACTCACAGGCCCATGGACCGGTATCAGTTGGGCCGGACTCGGACACCGGTCGCCAGACGTCTTGACTCGACGGCCAGTCTTGCTGGAGCACGAGGAGGAGCCGTCAATGGCGCCTACAACCAGTGGAAATGATCTACCCCAAATGACACATACTCTCCTCCTCTTCGCTAGTCTCTGTGTGCTTCAGGGAGAATCTTGCACAGTCGATGCTCTACTCCGTAAGTTGGCAACGATTGCAGCGACTAATCACTTTCGTGATTAACTGGCAGA